GGTCATTTTCCTTTGATAGTCTCGGTCCAAATTGAGGATGTCACAGCCTCTGTGGACTAGGGCCCGGCTTCAATGGACCCACACCCAGGTCATTTTCCTTTTATCGAATCATTTTCCTAAGCGATTTAAATGTCGAAAAATAAAGAAAATATTTTTCGATAAAAAATTTTACGCGAAATAAACGGAGCCTTAGTTCCTGAAATTCTTTCTCAATCTATGTTCTAAAGAGTGTTCAATTTATTTTCCATGAGTCGCGTGTTGTACTTTTTATGTTTTATTCTCATATTTGCAGATGCGAAATTATCATATGTAGAGGATGATAATCCTTTATATGCTATTGAATAACTAACTACTGGTATACTATATAGGATTCCATCTACAGTTGTATTGAGAACCTTATACCATCATTTGAGTAGTTTAAGACTCAATTATATTTTCTAGTAAAGTTTTATAATTGCCAATAAACAAACTTTGAATTTGATAGCATCCCGTAAAATTTCAATTTTCGGTGCAACTTTTATTTTTATTTTTAATGTTTTAGGGGTATGGACGTAGAGATCCGACAATGTGGAGGCTCATAAAAGCATCATGTAAGTTCCATAAATCGATTAAGTATAGACATTTACCCAATACAGATGACCCGGCTAGTAATATTTAGCACGCAATTGATGAAATATGAACATCCACATCTGATTATTGAACAAAAAATCCTCTAATGCAATTGCATCTTGCTATAACCTACCCGAAGGCTAACGTCATGAGGTGGTATATTCCAACGTCATAAAAAGCCTGGACAAAAATTGGATTATATTATAGAAAAATCCTTGTCGTTATTATCGGCGATGGAAAAGTAAAAGGTGAAGATAATATTCTCACGTTTACCTATAAACTCACTCTTTCTCACTTTTACTTTTTTTTTTTTGGCTAATTCGTCAAAGAAAAAGAGAAGAGACACATTGGTCATTGTTGACTAAAATAAGGGCATATTTAAAGCATCGTGTCCAGAATTCCATGAAAAAATTTACTTTTCCTTATGCTCCACAGTTCTTAATATTGCTGAAACCCAAAGGTACAAGAATGAACGAAGATTCCAAGTTCTTTTTTCTTTTTTCTCTTTTTTTTGGCTAAAGGAGATTCTCCGGTACAAATTAGTGTGTAAATGTTAAATAAAAGAACTTTCGTCGATATATCGACAATATATTTTATCGAATAAATTAAAGTTAATTGACCAAAAGTAAGATATATCAACGATTCACACTTTGGCATATCCATTGATCGGGGTCAGTGACTTGTCCCTTTTTGAAGAGAAAGATCAAATGACGGGAACAATAAAAAAATGAATCGAAGGCACAAAGGTCAAAAGTTGCTTCACCTGCACCGATTAATTAAATATAAAATGATATGTTAAAAAGGACAAGCGACTAATCCACATCAATCGTTGCCATTTTTCCACTAAAGTGGGTGCACATGGCGTTACATGATGATGTGCCTTCCAGCTATAACATGCCTGCCTTATTTTTGTTTTTGTTTTTTTTGCTTGGAAAAAAAGTCACCATTTGACAATCTTATAAAGAAAACAATAATTGGAAATTTTTATGTCTAATTTGAAATGGCATATAAAATCAATTGATTGAGAAGTAAATAAATCATACTAAAAGGTCCTCTTTAAAATAAAATAAAAAAAGAAAACTAACACATCCTTGGATCGACCTGGTGATTGGGTGATCACATACTTACGAGTTGTGAATACGATTCCAATACTAATGAATTTGAATTAAAAAAAAGTATCATGACGATGGGTTGTTGTACCAATTTCCTACCACATAGCCGGGCGATTATGATCGTGCTCCTAAATTTTTTTAGGAGAAGTAATGGCAATATGAAAGGGCAGAGAAGCATTAGTCCATAGTCTCTTTAAACCCGACAAATGAAAGCTAAGGAAATCATCTTGCGCAACAAAATCGAGCAAATTCACATAACATTCACAAGACGCAAATAAAGAAAAAGTCTCTCTTAACAATAAGTTTCTAAAATGTAGAAAAGATGTCATATTATCTAAGTAAATATATGCTCTTCAAAATTCGGAAATAAATCCTAGATTGAAAATGAATATCATAAATAAGAAATCAATAGCAAGTGGCGGCTCCAACCAGTGCTAAAAAATGGGTCAAATTTTCCTTAAAAAAACAACAGCCTCAAAACTAAGAGTATGCAAAATGGATCGACCAAACTAGAAATCGCTAAGACCGGACCAAATTGGCTGGTTAGGTTTGGTTCCCGGGAGTGTTAGTCCGATTTTCGATTTCAAAAAGTAGGCAGTCCCCTTCCCGATTCTAAGGAGGAATTGGACTAACTACATATATATTTTTATTTTTTTATTCCTTCAAAAAAATTAGTAAAATGTGAACTAAACCCTAAGTAAAGTACTTCAATCCTCTCAACTTCTCGAGTCTCATCCAATCACCACTCATCGCCATTTGCTTTCCACAAGGGGGGTAATACTTAACACCACCCACAAGAAATAATTTGATGTTCTAGACTTACCAATATACAACTAAACAAGGGAGTAATACTTAATACCAGTAAAATTCTTTCTTATGGGTCTCTTCTTTTTTTTACTTCCATCATAGACGTTATTAATACATGTGTAGTCGGCATGTTTTGATCAGTCTGCATCGATTCGTCATCGCATTGGCTCAAATTGCACACAATTCCAGTTTCAGATGGCATCAAGTAGTGGAAATAAAAAAAGTAGCCGGTTTCATTGGACTGAGTCATCGGTTTCTGGTTCAAACCGGTCACCCCTACTCAAAATCTAGAGAAAAAAAAAAGTGAATTTGAATGTCGAAAACGACATGAAATAGTTCCATAATAACAAAAGAAATGTAGAAAATTACAAGTCACGACATAGAAAAATCCATAAATTGGAGAAAGATCCACGGGTCATACTAGGAGGTCCCTCGTGTTGGATATTGTCTAGAGATTTGCAGGGGCGTTGAAAGTGGGGTTGACCTACGAAGAAGACGACATCGCATGGCAACATCATGCGCAAGAATTATTTAACCTAACTCCAATTGCAATCCCGTGGCCACCAGTAGGCCAATTATTTTTATATTCAGTATCGCGTGCTTTGAAAGTCCCTATATTCATTGTACATAATGACGTCATTATTGTTCTTTTCTTTCTTTCGGGTGGGGGTAGTTGACCACTAGATTTGGCGTGTGATGCATATGAAGACAAGATTATGAATGACCTCCAGCTATCCCATAACCAAGGTTGCCTGAGCAGCTGAGCCCGATGAGCATCTTAAATTTTGAGAATGTCAAATATGGTGAGTCTTTGTTATTCATTTTAATGTTTTTTTTTCATGATACATATGCGCACGGAGGGAGAGAAATGCTAGAATAGTTATATGTTAAAACACGCATATATTTAACAGCTTAAAACTTTTATAACGGTTTGCAATGGTTCTATAAAATCTCACATTATGTCGACACAAAAGGTCCTGAATCAAATTTTTCCATCTAATGGTTTAAACTTTTAGATTGTGATGGTACGATGGTGGTGACTGATGGTCAAGATCAAGAAGGGATGAGCCACCAATTCTGCCGATTATGGGTGTCTAGGATCGGCGCAACAGTAGGTAGAGAGAAAAGAGAAAAATTAAATTTTGTTTTTTTGTGTAATTTTTTCAAAGCATAACAATATTTAAGTAAATTCTAGGTATTTTATTCATCCGGCCGAATCTTAATTGTTAGTATGGTCCAAAACTTCAAATATATAGGATCAATTTATAAAATTTCCTAGAAAGTGCAAATTACTCTAAAAATTTTACTAAAAGTGCAATCTAATAACGCCATAAGGATACAAAATAATTTCCCAATCTAATAAAGTTTGGAAAAACTTCATATTTTGGAGTACATGATTATGCACACACCGTTATCTAAGTAGACTTGGTACAATTCGTCGTGCACGTACAACATCTTTAAGCTTTTGCATCTCTAAAGAAGTTATATTTTCAAGATTATATTGCGAGTGCCTTAAAAGGGTATTTATTAGGCAATTAACAATTATCGGAAGAATGAAGTTAAAGCATGATTTTGTGCAGCTTCTAAACTGAAAATCTGCTATTCCACAGTCAAACTACTAGACTAATTCAGTCCCTGCAGACAATTCAGAGGAAAGGATCGGTCTGGTGTCTTCAACAACCATGTAGTTGTCGAATCAAGGTGCCTCAAGGTCAAGGCAGATATTGATTAATTGCGGCTACATTGGCGGTGGCCGGCGGCCTAACTATTTTACCCAAAAAAAATCGTAGGATACACATAACTGCTACGTTGGAGCTCAATAATTTAACCTAATACATATGCATGCTGTGTACTCATCATTATTGTTAAATATATAAATATTGAAACCGCACCTTCATTTAAGATCTTAGAACAATTGCCAATAATCCCGCAAAATCTCATATAATATCATAACAGAATGTCCCGAGTTCAAATATTTTCAACCTCTTATTTATTTCCCAAAAATAAAGCTAAATGAGTCGATATTAAAATGACTCAAAAAGCATTACGTTGCAATAATATGATATTTTTTTGAATTTCGAGATTTAACCCAGATTTTGTAAAGTAAAGAACATCAAAGGTCTACAGAGCATTGGAGCATTCTATCAATCTTTTTTATGTTAAAATATGTTGCAGAGATTGTGGGTCACCCCTTTTGCCTCCAAATATCTCTTTTGCACGAACTACAATTCACAAAAAGCACTGTCCTCTCTTTTTCTTTTTTCTCTTATTTTTTTTTTTGCCCCATCTTCTAATTTTGCTTTTTCATCTTTTGCTCTTTAACTCTTTCCAAGCTTTTTTCTTCTTCACGCAACCTTCCGAGTTCTCAGATTCTTCTATTCCCTCTCTTTTGCCCATGAAGTTGAAGTCCATATCGAATGCGATAGATCCATCAAAAGATAAAAATAAAGAAGAAGAAGAAGAAGAAAGAAATGGGAGACAAATAAGATAAACATAACCTTTCTGGCATTCTAGCTAATGCTGAGCTTAATTATACTAAAAGCCACGCATGAAATAAACTGTACAATCGCAAACAAAAATTACATCGCCATTACGTCGTATATACATCAAGCCGTACAAGCACAACTCAAGCCAAACCGAAATGATTTAGATACTCCCGTTTGCCTCTCTCTCCCGCCCGGCCAATTGCCGATTGGCGTGAGAAAGATCGATGCTAGATATATAAAGACTAATTCACAAATTATCGATTTACAAAGTGACGTAACTAACTAGCAATAGGTCGAACCAAGCACTCGACAAGAAATTGGCACGTCACTTTGTAAATTAATTTTGTAAATGAATCCTTTTTTCAAAAGCAGAATTGATAATATGATGGAAATATTCGCCCAACTTTTGTTTTTGGGTAGCGACAACTAATATTGCTTTCTTTTTAATTGATCAATTTAGCCTCTGGTGCGAATGATGGTGATGGTGCCTCGTCCTTGAGTGTGGAGTCGGGTGAGAGCGACGACAGCTTTTCCGGAGAGGCCAGGACCATGAGGGGACACGCAGGGTCGACAGGCGAAGTCCCCGACCGGATGCCGGACCGGCCTGGTTGGCGGCATGAGCAGCCTCTCATTGATGTCGTTCAACGTCACGTCCCCGTCGGCACCGCCGGGCTTCACCACCGCAAATGGGTACACCACCCTCGTCACCACCACCCTCTCCTGCCTCCTCCGCTTCTCACCGCCGTATCCTGCACCCATTTCTTTTTTCATTTTCAGAAAAGGAAGAACAAAATCAGTACCTGGGTTTTTCTCAAAGTCGAAAAAACAGTTCATACGAAAATGGCGTGATTTTTCTCCTTACTTGTAAAAAGAAAGAAAGATAATCTCGAAATGTAAATACCCACCCCGCAAGATTTTATCACCTCACATGGGACCATCCCAATACGACTTGTATAATGATGTAATAATTCTATAGACCACATAAAATCGGTTTATAATAATACTAAACCCAGTGATGTGATAACTTATTATTTATCCTTTAAATAAGTTGATTATAATTTAACACCAGTAACAATTCTGTCACATAATTTTATATACCAACTTTAGTTTTTTTTTTTGGTCGGAATATACCAACTTTAGTTTATAAACCAAATCTTAATGTAACTGGCATTATTTTTTAGAGAAAAATAATCTAGTGCATAAATGGCGTTAGGTGATCATTGCGTAGCGTGCGCCATCTGTTTGTGAAGTAATTTCGGTTCTGACCGTCAAAGAATATCTACATAATTATCGTGCTTTAGATTGAGCATGTCGTGAGAGAGAGACTTTTACGTACCAGACAAAGGCATGGCATCGAGAGCGAATTGGCCTTCTTTGTCAGTGCCGGACTTGGTGCGTGACGACGACTCTTTGAACGGCGAGGAGGAATCCAGCGACGACACGACGTCCTCTTGCATCTTAACTTCAGGAAAAAAGCTAGTGTCCTCGCTTGTCCTGCTCCTTGAACTCCCCATTTCATCTACAGTATCGTAATTCAAAAACATTATCAGCAACCACCACTACAAAACCATCGTGATCCAAGGAGTAAAACGATCTAACACCTGAGAATCCGGTGAAACTGGTTATTTCACTCATGCCATTGTAATTCTCGTCGACACCCCATCTGCAAGTCGAATTCCAGTAGCCCTGCCCAAGAAGAATCAACAATCATCTTCCCTGTAAATAATGTGATGAGCTGGGACCGATCAGTTTTCGTACTCTTGCTCGAGGACACTAAAGTTTCTCACCAGTGCACGGTCGTTGAATTCTTTGGTCTGGTCTTTGCCGCAGAACGAGAGCCGGCGCCGCTTCGACCGGTCGCCAAACTCGAGCAAGGCGTCCTCAAGGTAGCCCGTGGAGAGGTTGTGATCTGAGTCCAAGTCCGAGAAGTAGGGCGGGGTGCTGCCCATGACTGCACTCCACATTACTTCCACAGGATGAGAGGAATGAAAGATAATAATGGAGAACTTTGAGAGCTCAATTCACCACATATAAACCCCAAGGAAGCACGACAGACAAAAACAGTGAAAGCAACCGAAACAGACACGAAGAAAAAGAAGGGACAAAGAAAGAAAAAGGAGTACCTAAAGACATGTCTGCGTTGAGAACTCCAAGGTTATGGAGATCCCAACCTAGGGAAGAACAGTGTGGGCTATTACAATTAGTGTGACTAGTGTAAGAGCGAGAGTGAGGGTCGCTAGTACCCATGTCCGACTCAATCACCATTTGAATGATGCACTAGTGAATACTGGGTCATGTGGGTATTGTTCATGACCTATTTATCTGCAGGAGTGCAAGAGAAAACAAGAAAAAAAACAGTGGGATGACATGATTTTGGACGGATCGGGGGTCAGTCAACGGCAAGGGAAGGAGAAAAAGAGCTCGAAAGTGGGTGTTTCTTGGGATATGGGAAATGTATGGGGCCACTTTTTGGTACGTATCATTGTTTAAAACTTTATTTTTTTGGAGGGGCTAGTGAGTAATGTGGGGGACTAAATAATTGCGAGGTTATGATATGATTGCTTCCTGCATGTAAAGCGAAGACTGGTGTGTGTGCGGGTGCAATGTAATGTGGAGACACAATTCAAAATTTCAGCTTTTCCTTTTTGCATCCCTTCTGATATGGTCACCAACCGTTTCCCCTTTTAGGGTTTGGGATGTGAATGCTTTTCTCTCTTTCTCTGCGCATTCTCTCCCATGGTGGGGTCATATCAGTCATCACGACTGCACATTAATGTTTTATCAAAAGAAAAGAAAGAAATTTCGCAAGATACGTTGGACTTCAGGTGAGTTTCTGGACTTGATTCGCATTGGTCGGGTATGGGTAGCCTGGATATTTTTATGTAGCTTACCGGTTCCGGCAATTGGGGAAACCCCGAATTCAAATTTCACGAGAATTTTCTATGGATGGTAGTTTGCAGAAAGCGACTTAGAAAATTGTGTTGGGAAGAAACTGAAGAAACTTGGGTGGAAAGCATTACCATTGTCCTATTTTTATGTTGCTAAGAAACGCAAATTTGTCATGGCCCTTTGACTTGAAATCTATAAACGACACGGAAGAAGTCCCTGAGTTGGACTTTCAGGAATCCTTTGATATCCAAGTCAGAAGAATACATAAAATACTACGAAGTAAACAAATGTACAGTCGAGAATGTAGCGCACCTTTACGGCTTGATGTATTTGTCCTGTTGGGGAACAAGATGATCTCCTAGGTTGGACTTATCTTATGACCCTACGCAGTTGTGGCGACGACCACTGCGGCGCACAACCCTAACTGGATCTATGGTGGCGTAGTGAAACCCAAGTCATGCGTTGTCATAGTCGCATAGCCCTAATGATGTGGTTGTCTTGGGTTGGCATGACCTCAACAAGGCAAAGCCGGGTCACGCGATACAATTTTACTGGACCAAGTAGTCGACGCTACAAGCATGTTATCACCAATTTGTCTAGTTAGTGATGACGTGGCACTGATATGTCAACACATCAGCAGCAACCATTTTTCATAATAACAAAAGATCGAGTGTAAGGTTAATACCCTTTCTTCCTTTTGAGCTAGAATTATTCCAAACTCCTTTGCCGCGAGTGCCCCATAGCCTCAGATGTAGCCTGGGTAAGTCATCTGCGCAGCAAGATGATTCATCCCTTTAATGGCTTAACCACAGAATTGAGGTTTACCCATTTATGTACATCAATGGTCGAGATTGAACGAGATATCGAGAGAAGCACCCTGCGCAATAAAAAGGATCTTCCTCCGATTATTTCGAGTGTAAGAGCATCACGTTTGATAGGCTAGGTTTCATTATTAGCGAGGTACTATAATATGAGAGAGGGTCATGTTTGACTCACTCCAGTTGACTCAACCACAGTTCTAAGTAAAATAGTTGAGTCCACACTAGAGTCTAGGACTCCAATCTTGTCTTGCAGATGTGCATGAATAGGAGATGTACATTAATCTTATATGGATCTACAGATAATGTAAGGGTGTATCAAGAAAATTAGGAGAGGGTGGTTGTGTGGGACCATCTTTTCGGGTGGTCATTTTGATTGGTCAGTCGCATTTAGACCGGATAAGCACGATAGAAGAGACTTGATGTGTATTTACTTTGGGAAATGTTACCTCTTGATTTCTTGTTACAGCCAATGATGGCTCTAGGCCCATGGACAGCTGGATTGACTTTGGTGCTTAGTACTGTTCTTGGTGGTTAATAATGTCAAGCCTTTCAAAATTAGTGGACAAAACAACCAATGAACAATCTGTAATGGAGAATGAGCAAGAGGGACAGAGTGGAAAGTTAATAGAGTAATGCTAGATATAATATGATTTACTAAATTTGTACCGAGTGATGAAATGAAAATGATCATTTAAATGTCAAGTATAACTCATTTTTTTTTGAAAAAAATAAAGTTTATGGTCCGAGATAGTCACTTGACATGTCAAATTTTGTAGACCCGTCTTATTATACTAGACGTTTACTTACGTGTTGCGCGGTTTTTAAATTAGGCAAAATGACACAAACAATTCCTGAACTTTGGTCCAATGTGCAATTTGATCTCTGAACTTTTAATTTGTTCAATATAGTCCTTGAACTTTAACCCGATATGTAATGTGGTCCCTAAACTTTTATTTTGTTCAATGTCATTCCCGAACTTTTGGTACATGTTCAATTCAATCCCTGAACTATATGAAAATATTCAATGTAGTATTTTCCATTAATTCAAGTTCAAGGACTACATTGAACATTTTTATATAGTTTAGAGACTGAATTGAACATGTATAAAAAGTTAAGGGATGACATTGAACAAAATAAAGGTTCAGGGACCACATTGAACACTAGCCTAAAGTTCAGGGACTACATTGAATAAATTAAAAGTTTAGGGACCAAATTGTATATTGGGTCAAAGTTCAAGAACTATTTGCGTCATTATCCCTTTAAATTATTAGAAAAATCAAGAAGAAGAAACAGATACATAAAGAATCATTAGAATTAAAGTAGATGAAGAAAAATTAAAACATTTAATCTAAAAAGCGGTCTTTCTGGAAATGTAGATATGTAAAATGAAGAACAATATTTTTTTTATCATCAAAAGAAAACAAAATGATAAGCTCCTCAATAAAGTGAACATAAGATTGATCATTCAAACGCGGGCAAAATAGTACCTAACAAAACTTTGAACGGGGAATAGTTCAAATTAGATGAGTCCTAAAGCCTATCACAACTACACTAGGCTTTGTTCTATGAAGATGGCTAAAATGGTATACGTGATGGTCTCCATATTTGGCTCACCAGATGTTCGTGTAAAGTACTCAACGAAACTCGACTTCAAATCACCGTGATCTTGCTAAAGCAATCACATCCGTAAAAGCAAAGAGGCAGCAATAACAAGCAACAGATTAAACAGAGCATAATAATATACAGATCATTTAGTCAAGATAACTAAGTGCTCGAGAAAGATAACTTTGTAGCTATCTTTTAGAGTTAAGAGATCCATTGAAATCCCCCTCCGGATCCAAGGAATATCTTTTAGAGTTAAAAAATATTTTTCTAAAATATCATATTGACCTCGAAATAAACGGAACCTTCACGTTACTTTACACACGGCTAAATCCTTAGATGACTCATGAAAATTGCTTTTTTCATTAGCAAATGATGGGAAATAAATGTACGCAAGTAGTCCGCTTCAAATCGGCTTTTAGTAATATAACATAAAAATAATGCGAACATAATGACATGAAGTGATGGTCGCAAATTATAATTTTTTCCCTGTTGAGGGCATTCATGAAATTGAGGCACTTCGTTATATTTCTTTCAGCCTTGCAAGCAAAAGAGTGCTTTGGAGTTGGGGATGTGTGAATTTTAGAATGAGCATAATGAGGCCAACCATAGTTCCGTTGTCTTGAAAAAGGCATGATGAGCATGAAAGCATCTGTGGTCACTGGTCTAACACCACCTCACTTGTGCCATTCCCTAGCAAACCCAATCATATTGGACCGGGCTCCCTGAGTCCCTTGTACATCTGCATTATTCCTTTTTAGCTAACTATCACGTCAGCCATTTCCGGTAAAAATTTACCAAAAGGATTTCATTGGAATTTCTCACAAAAGTTTAAGACTAAATTGGCAAAATCGAAAAATTTAAAACTGAATTGATATCCGTACAATTATTTTAGAATTGATTGAGTAATTTCTCCCTATCGCATTTAGCCACGGTTGCGTTTAACAGACATAATCGGATTTGACTTCTTTTGCTCCCTCCCAAATTCCGACCCTTATCAGAAGCATGTGAGTTGGTGCAACGATGGTACTAACAACCCCTTCGATTAGCAGATCATGTCGAAAGTTGTTTCATAAGAAACACACCTTCAATAATCTGAGTCTTCATATTTTGAAATTTTTAATTTGCTTCATCGGTTTTTAATAATAGACTTCGATTTACGGCTGTAAAAAACAAAGATCAACATCTTAATGTCACAACATCAATCTGGACAAGAATACTGCAAGAGGGAAACTATAAGTCAGTTTTTATCGTGTTCGCGAGAAAACCCTAATATTGTCATGCCAAACCTAATCAAATTGACTTGAAATAATAAACATATATATATTAGTATTATTAAATATATTTTCATACCTTAAGGGAGTAATGCTAATTATTGTCAGAACAGTTTATAAAATTAACTTGCAAAACAATGTGACAACTGCAAGTGGGGTAGAGTGAAGTTTCCAATACAAGGGGAAGATGATATATTGTACTGCAGAGACAAATTGATCAATGATAATAATAATGCAAGCCCTCCACGTACGGATACTTTATCTAGCATTTCCAAGCTTTTTGCCATAAAAGCTGAGCAGGTTGCGCATGATCTTCGAGCCAGGATTGTATCATTCTTATGGAACAGTGTACCCTGCATGAAGATTGCAATTATTAGAGATAAGAATAGCTAAAGTGTTGGGAAAAGTGTTCGAAAAGTTCTAACATCTAATTCAGTCCTAAATTTGTCCTAAATGTGTAATTGTGTCGATTTAGTTTTAAACATATTATACAACGGTCAATTCATTCCTAAATCTTTTAATTGTGTCAATTGAATCCTAAAATTTCTAAGAATTTGCGGATCTAATTCTAAATCTTTTAACAAATCCTAAAAGCCGCGCTCACGTAGAACAGTCGACGCTGACTGGTGCTGACATAGGTAATTTTTAATAATTTAAAAAAAAAATTCCAAATTTTTTTTTGTTTGCTTTTTTTCTTCACAGGTCGCCGGCTACTGGGCGAGGGCCAATGAGGGTCATCGGCCTCTAGGCAAGGGCCACGAAGCCCTTGCCCGCCCTTGTTGTGGTCAAAGAGGGCTTTGCAGTCCTCACCCTGGGGCGGGGGGCCTCGCCGACTCTAGGAAGAAAAAAATCAATAAAAAATTAGAAATTCTTTTTAAAAAATTAAACAATTGTTCACGTTAGCACCAATCGCGCCATGTAGAATCGCCTGCGCTGATTGGATCGCTACGTCAGCGATTTCCAACCAAAATTAGTCGGAATGAGTATATTGACAATTTGTTAAAAGGTTTAGGACCAACTCAACACAATTGAAAGGTTTAGGACTGATTTGGCAAATAACTAAATTGATATAATTGAAAAATTTAGGACTGAATTAGCTACCGTACAATAGGTTTAAGACTTTTTGAATAATTTTCTCCTAAAATACTTAGTCTAGAGTACAGAAAATGTGTATGAACTAGCCACTATGTCAACCTACATATTGTCTTTTTAATTATAAGCTATGTAACTTAATAAGCTTAACGACCAATCGTGGACTGAGAATTTCGGCGCCGCAGGGGGTGGGGGGGGGGGGGGAGGTGGTGTGGTGTGTGTGTGGTTTGGGGGCGCCGAGACTATTAATTTTAACTAATATATATGTATTTATGTTACCATGTAAGTAATCAACTTCGGTGTTGTTTATTCCAACAGGTGTATCTCAATCTATCATGTGTAATAAATTTTATTTTCATGTATAGACAAATTGATCAAAATATGCAACTTACCTCCACACTTCTTTCCAACGGGTCGTTTCTTGATGTTGCACCTCTTGGGGATGGTGATAGCGATTCCGAGGTTGATCCCAGCCTGCTTGGCCAGAGGAGACAGGAGAACGGCGCAGAGGCATTTCGGCGAGGTCGTGATGAGCGCGCCGACTTTGGTGCAACAAGCCGGCGGGACCTTGGCCTTCGCATTCCCAGCCGCGCTCAGGCACGGGCTTAGGCTCACCGCCGCGGTGCTTATGGGCATTTTCCCGCACTCGCCGGCGGCAATGGCTTCCTGAAGAGAAGCCATTGAGGACACCAAGAAGAGGACCAAGGTGACTAGACAAGAGCACCCCCTGGCTTTGGCGGCCATTTATTCGTCTTAAATCTTCTTTCAGATAGATTTTGATGAAGGTGCGCATTCAGGAACGGGTAAGGAAGATATATATATGGACTTGGGAAATTTGGTGGGGCAGTGGCACGTTAGTGGGGTTGGTGAGAGGCTTGGTGGGGCTTGGAGTCTTGGAGGCTCACTTGTATGTATTTTGCTTAAATTTATGGATCGGACACCACAACAATCGTGCCTTACCACTGTCTTTATTCGAGCAGAAACGATTGTATTTGACGATTTAAATGAAGCTGACATGATTACGTTCTCCAATTCCTCATGTGAAAACCAATTGAATTCTTCCAAGGTGATCCACTTCGAATCCCACTTCACTAAGGTGGCGGCGGTGGGGCTCGATTCTTTCCCATTGTCTATCTTCAGGCCCTGCCCCGCTTCTGTGCCGATTGAATCATTGTGTCTGAGTGGGGTGAGTTCACGCTTCGAATTTTTCTACATCATGCGAACCTTAGAGCTGTTGTTCTAGTTGTTGATGCAAGAACTGGAAATCACGAGCATAGTCTGAAACTTCGCTGGGAAATCAGTTTGCATAACAATAATCGGCTCAAAGCACCTAGGATTTGTACCCGAATTGGCCTTCCAATGCTTAAGTTAGCATTGGAAACGAGGAAAATTGTTGAGAGAAAAAAGTTGGTTGAGCTTTAAAGTCGAAAGAAGATGACTCTTAGAGAGAAAAAATGTGCAAGAGAAAATTACTCGAGTCTCATATTTCTTTCCATATATCTTTTTTGAAGAGTCATCAAACGGTATTAACAAGTGACAATTTATGATCAAAGGTGGTTAAAAGGCATGTCATTCGCACTGTGTCATGGACCAATACATGTAATAGTGGTAGCACCGTTGTGTGTCTAATGAAACAGCAAAAAAGTGTCAGATTAATTTGTTCAATAAATAAATGTCCCGTCAAATCGAGTGCTAGGTACCCGTCTGGTTTGCGTTATACTTACCCGTCGGTATAGTAGTGACATGTGTTGAGTGATGATTAGTTGGTCAAAATCACCCTTATCCCTAGTCTTCTAGATGCTATGGTCTCAGCATGTTTTCATGCTCTGGTATGCTTTGATCATGCTGAGAAACAGAATTCAGTAGATGGGCAAATAAAGTAAGAGGAGACACTGATCCACCTTCCCTCATGCTTGCACTAATAACGAATCAAAGAGGAGCGAGTGGCTCAAATAAGCACAATAAAACTAGTCATATCATTGTGTTATACATCTCAAAAAATAGTCGCATACATCACTCTTAAATGGCATCGATCAACTTATTGAAACGACGAAAGAAGAAGAAAGAAGACGAAAATGAAAACCAAAAAGTGAGGAAATTAAAGAACAAAACTATATGAAGATTATGAAATATTATGAGATGTCAGGTGGGGGGTCCTTTAACATATCTTGTTCTTGTTGGTCTTCCTTTCCGAGACAAACTTCTTCCAGGCATCCGTGATTTCCCTCTGCGTCTCGATCGCCGTCTTCTTCGTGCCGTTGACCTTCCCGTTCTCCTGGGCGCAGGCGACGCTCATCTTGGCCTTGATCTTCGCGGGGAGCGCGTCGAGGTCGTGGATCACCTTCGTGATGTCCATCACGAGGCGCTCGGCCAGCGTGCGCGAGAAGTCCTCCCTTATCACCACGCGGAGCACGGTGATGTGCTGGGCGTCCGCGGGCATGGTGTAGGCGGGGACGATCCATCCGAAGCGGCGCAGCATCTCGGACACCTCAAACTCGTCATGGCGGCTGTTGTCCTTGAGCGAGAAGGCCACGAGGGGGACCCCGTCGTCCTTCGAGACGATGTTGAAGTAGCCCGTCTTCTCGAGCCCTTCCTTCAGCACCATTGCGTTCTCGTGGCAGTTCTCCATCACATTTTGGTATCCCTATGATCAGTAAATGCAAATAAGTGAAATGAACCAACAAAGCAAGATGTCTGGAAACTTTGACTCCGGCAATTTTGACAATCTGCTTAGCTTTCTTACCTCCTGGCCCAACCGGATGAGTTGGTAATATTGAGCAATCACTTGACTTGAGCCTGCAGTTTGTTGCCAGTGCAAAGATTTTTTAAGAATGCTATTCCATTCATTGCCAAAATAATAAGAAACTCCTTTTCCTTTCAAATGAAAATTGACGATGTGATTTGGATTCACCTTTGGAGAAGTTGAGGGTGAAGGTGGGTTGATCAGCACCAAGATAGTTTATGTGAAAGATGAGCTCTTCAGGCAAGTCCTCTTTGCTCCTCCAGATGACCCACCCAATTCCGGCATAGACCAGCCCGTACTTGTGCCCGCTGACGTTGATGCTCTTGACCAGCGGAAGCCGGAAGTCCCACTCGAGCTCCGGGTACAGGAACGGCGCAATGAACCCACCGCTGGCTGCGTCGACGTGGATCGGGGTATCCCATCTGCGCCAAACAGCAAGCACACAACAAATGACCTCATTAGTCTCCCATTTTTTTCTGCAAGGACCAATATGTTGATTGTCCGTGCTTAGAGAATTTCCCCCCCCCCCCCAAAAAAAAAAAAACATCGGAACACGACATACCCGGTTTGCTTGTTCTTTTCGAGCAACAGGTCGTTCAAGAGCTTGACGTCCTCGAACTCGCCGTTGAGGGTGGAGCCAAGGATGGCAGCGACGCAGATGGTGTTCTCATCCACGAGCTCCACCGCCTTCACTGGGTCCATCACATAGTAACCTTCCCTCAGCTTCACCTCCTTGAGCTCCACCTCAAAGTACCTAGCAAATTTCTCCCAGCACACCTGGACGGAACACAAGACACACATTAGGATTCATTAAGGTTCTAAACTTTGGCCATTCTTCTTCGTCCTTTCGACCGACATCCCGCGACTCTCTCGAGCACCCAATAAGAATTCGCCGCCAACTAAATTTCGTAAATTAGGGGGGGCTCACCTGAACGTTGGCGCCGGTGACGATGTTGGGCTTGTCCCAGGGCTTGCCCTGGACCTTGCGCATGTTCTGCCACTTCCGCTTGAAGGCGAGCCCGGCGAGCATGATGGCCTCCGATGACCCAACCGTCCCTACTCCCACAGCTGTCTCCGAGTCTCCCAGCGGTGCATTGAAAAGATGCGCTATCATGTTCACACATCGGTTCTGTTGCAGAGAGCAATTCAAGATACCTAGTTACTCCCAAGCACCACAACATGAACCAAAGAGACAGAAAATCAAACTAGATTTTTTATATGCATTGGATATATCAGAAACCTGTCATTAGTGAGATCCATCTGATCTAAGAACCGATTATCATTATTAGAAAACATGTACTGGGTTATAGGCCTCAAGAACCGATACCGGGTTATCAAATTTAGTGTTCGACGCAACGTTATATTTGCGAAAGGATAAGCAATAGTCAGAATTGAATTGACAACATCGTATGTACCGTGGTTCATACGGAGAACTTATACGTTACGTGGTAGTGAGTCAATCAGCCCTCTTGTTTTGTACGCCGGACCACATTGACCGAACATGTTCGACTTTGACTGAGTAGAGAGGGGGGTGCAGTGACGGTGAATAGACTTTGTGACCAAGCCCAAACGCTTTTTTTCAATATTTAATTAATATTTTGTCCTAGGTCTATGCTTCACTCTTTCAATATTTAGTATTTTCGACATTTAATTAATATTTTGTACTAGGCCTATGCCTCACTCTTTCAATATTTAGTGTACGTCGACACGTTTCACTTGAGCATTACCAGCAGATCGCGACACCACTCCTGATTTCTCAAAACTTGGGTTACCCGTGGATTTGGCCCCAGGATTGGAAGGCTAAAAAACCAATGTCACATTCAACGACATAATTAATTAGAACGTCCGTTCGCCATTGATCCAACATTACTCGATCAATTCAGCAAATAAACTAAAGAGGAAGTTGGTCAGATGCCAAGTAAACAAACAAGCGACGATTGTTTTAAAACTTTGACATATTTGATTTTTGGTTTTGGCCGTCGTCTTCTAAGAGATCAACCAGTCATTTGATCATCATAGTCTGTGTTAATGAATATTCAAGGTAAAGAAAGAGCGATAAATCAAAAATAAGGAACAATCAACGTGCCTGCAACTCGGTGGTGACGGGGTACTCGTCCATGTCAACGTAGTTCTTGTTGATGGAGTCCATGATGAGCTTGTCGCACTCCGGCTCCATCCACGTCGTCACGAACGACGCCAGGTTCAGCCTCGGGTTCCCGTCCAGCATCAGCTCGTCGTTTATTATCTGGTATGCCGCCTCCTTCGGTATCGAGTTCTCCGGCATCTTAAACCTGCGCACAAATTGTTGTTAGCCCTTTCACAAAGCCATGCGGAATCTCACAAACCCGTCGAAGTTCGATCAAAACAGCTCTCAGCCTCAATACTGACCTCGGGAGCGAGCTCCGGACATAGCGAGACGCAAAGGTGGAGTGGATGGAGACGTCGGACTGGGAGGCGGTTTTAGAGAGCACCATGATGGCTTGTAAAGATAAAAGGCCGAGAACTTAGAGAGGGGAAATGTGTAATGACAGAGAGAGCTTGAATGGTTTTGTGAATGGAGGTTTTGCTTGGGGAAGAGGTTGATGTTTATATAGGGGCCAAACACGTTTTGTGTCGGGTACTTTGACTCTCTCTCTCTCTCAGTTTACGGTATTCCCACGTTTGATGTTCTTCTCAATGGAAATAAGGAAAGGGACATGTTCGTCGAGAGTTCCTTTATTAATATACTCTTCTAGATGGCGAGGAAAGAAACACGGAATGGGAAAATTCCCCCGGGGGGGGGGGGGGGGGGGAGAGAGAAGCGGGCAAGAAAAGAAAAACCTAAGTCGTCTCTCCTTTGTCCTTTTCTTAACCCCACCTTGGTTCATGCTTGTTTACTATTGTCCTAAAGGTAACGATGGTTTAGTATTTGTCACGGGAAATTCTAACGTAAATCAACTATACTATATGACTGTTTACAATTGAAGTCACGTAAATTTATTACAGTTTGTGAAACATAAACAGAACCCAAAATGCAACTTTTTGAACTTTTGGGGTCGGGTTGGACTTTCGGAACCCTCCTGTAAGAAACA